AATCATTAATTCTCTTAATTATCTTTTCTTCCTAGCACCACCCAACACTCTAATTTTATAAGATAAATATTCATGGTACAGTATCACTAACCTTTTGTTCTTTTCTTAACTCCTTTGAGCTCTCCACTTCCTTTGCTTGTCTATCTCACATCTCCATTTCTTCAAGATTCTTGATAATTACCCCCTTGTCCTCAGCAGCCACCCCAATTTTTTTAGCAAAATCCCACAATTCTTCTACGATTCTTCGACTAGGATGTTCCTTCAGCATTGTATTGCAATTCTCTATTCCGCTATCACCCACTAAACCTCTTACCACTGAGTTACTTGTACCTGGCAAAAACCTTGGGATCCCTTATTTCTCTGCTTGTTTTGATCTTGCTCTGCCTCGGTCCCTCTTTCTTGGGTCCATTAATTGTAGGAGAATCGCTTTTTAGTACACAGATCTGCATGATTTTACCCTCTTCTTTCTCCTTTTCTTTCCTGCTTTGTTTCTTGAACCCATCCACTCTTTCACACTTCTATCTCCCCTTCCTAAATTTGCCCAGAACAAACTATTATTTCCCAAAAGTGCCCCTTTTTCCTCTTTTCCTTCTTTTCTTTGCAAATCCTCTTTATTTGTTTCATGCCTAATCCCCAATTCGTTTTCCATCTTCTTATTATTGCATGTAGGTTCACCAGCCTAAATTTCCTTTTCCATTCCCCTTTCTCCTTTATGGTTTAAGCCTAGACCTTTTGGAATGGGCTCAGCCTACAAGCCTAACCCATTTCCTTTCGAGCTTTCTATTGGATATGTGCTCACTTAGTTCTATGGCCCAATTTCATGCATCCCAAACTCTTCTCTAGCCCCCACATCACTTGCCTCTAGAAACACATCAATACTATCTGTTACTACTTTTACTGAGTCTTTCTCTCTCAACTGATTATAAGAAAGCTTGTCAACCATTTTGTAACCTCTCACATCACATCTATCTCCTTCAAATTCAAATTCTGCCTTATACAGTGGGATGGCGGTCAACCATTTATCCATCTTACTGAGTTCCAGTTTGTCTCCATCTTTTCCTACTTCACTATCAATTTGTTCCAAGTCATCGTGTCAACCATCTCCTTCAGGTTACTCCTCATATTCATTGCCATTTGACCGGGATTCTTCATAATCTAACTCACTATTGAAGCTCGACATGAAATCATATCTCATTGAGAACATGATGTTTGTCATCTCCTCTTTTGTGAACTTTAAGTTGTACATGACACTGTTTACTTTGATTTGTCATTTAACTGAGAGTGAATCCATAATCGGCATGGATATCAAGAATCTGGCTATGTCAAACCTTCTTTTCTTGCTTGTGCTATTGTCGAAACAAATAAACTTGCCCCATGCAGATGCCATCAACTTAAAGAAATATGACCCCCATCAACTCAAAGAAATATGACCCCCAAGCATGTAGTGGAGCACCTTCGCATCTCATCTAGACAAACCTTTCCTTTGCCACTATTATAGGTGTCCAAGGCTTAACCTCTGAGAACCACTGGCCCAACCAATTTGATGCCTCTTGTACTAACTCTTTTAATTGTTCTTTGTCCTCACATTCCATTAGCACCAACTTTCCCCCCATAGCTCAGAGGCGACACGAGAAATAACCCTCCATGTAAAACTTTTCTCGTAGATTTAGAACAATTTCCATAGAATGGGTAGTACCAATATAACATCCACACAACCACTCATAATCTTCTTCTTTCACGTTGTACTCAATTCTTGACCAATTTATTTCTCTGTTCTTTATTCTCCACATCTGTTGTCGTTGTATTTGTCTATGTGTCTCACTACTTCTGTTTTTTCTATGGTCATATTTGGGTCTTTTCTCCATCGAATGGTCCTCTGATTTCCTTGGGTCCCTTCCCTCTTGTCCTCTAACTACGTCAGCATAAGTTTTCCCTTGGACAACTATGTTTGTGGTTAAAGTTCTCCTTATCTCCTTAACCTCAGCTTCCTCCTTTGGGTATTTGGCTAAGT